GGCAGTACTTCACCATCTGTGATCCAAAAAGCTCCACAGGTGATCCAAATGCAATTTATGAACCTAATGTGATCCTCAGTGATTGTAAACCGATGTTCTATGTTCTAGGAGGTTCCAGCTAAGTCTGTGTTCAACTCTTCAGTTATCCCTACCAAGTAACTGAGACCTCACTTGACCCTCACCAGGATGAGGAAACCTTTGAGACACGGCCTAAAGAGCCTCGCTATAAAGTATCTTAAAATAAAACTCTATAAATAAGTTTCTCCTTGAAGCCTCCACTCCCTACAAGTGACTTCACTTGGCCCTTCCACCTGAAGACTCACCCTGCCACGGTGCTGGCATCAATCCTGTCCTTGGTCAAACAGAACTATTTAAGAAGCTTTAATTCTCTAACTCCGTGACTCAAAATCAAAATATTAATAACAATCTCTTATTGAGAGCTTGCATGTGCCAGGCATGGTGTTAAGTGTCAACTCAATTAATCCCTGCCCTGATCCTGTGAGGTAAATGCTCTGATAATGGCAACCTGATGGGTAAGGAAAGTGAACCTTAGACAAAATCAATTACATGCCCTAGGCCTAGGTCACCCTGCTAACCAGCAGAGCCTGGCTGTTCTGCCCCGACCACAGGGTCCATGTTCCTGGTTATTCTCATGACTCGACATCTCCACATGCATGGCCCAGAGCTCCCTCAACTCAAGATGGAAATGTTTCCTTCTTACCCAGATCCTCTCCTCCTGTCCTGTCCTGGCTTAGGTCACCTCCTCACACCTGTCACTTAAACTGAAACCTCCGGCTCATCCCTGACACCCATCACCCACAGCCACTCGTTGTTCCCTATGCCCTTTTAATGTTACTTTCATTGGCTCTCAAATCTTTCATCTTTCAAATCCTCATTTGGTTCTTTCCAAATTTTAGTAATTCGGTATTATGATTAATGTTTTCATTGATTTTGAGAGGGGAAGGGAGAGGGATAGAGAAACATCAATGATATACATCCATCCATCTGCTGCCTCCTGCATGCCCCCTACTGGGGATCAGGCTCACAACCCGGGCATGTGCCCTGACCAGGAATGGAACCAGTGACATCATGGCCGATGCTCAACCACTGAACCACACCAGCCGGGCGTAATTCGGTATTATTTTAGTAACCCCTGTAAACAGTCTCTCTACCCTAGTCTTACCTTTTTCAAATCCAAACCCCATTTTGCTGGATCTAGATTTGATCATTTGTTAACACAAATTTGATATCACATGGAGGCTTAGAATCCTCCAGTGATGTGACAAGTCCCACGTGATAAAACTCGGATTCCTTAGTTAGATGTTCTTCAGGGTATCACTCCGACTTCTTCAAAGGCCTGTCCTGCTGCTTCCTGGCACCTCGTTCTTGCCCCCTAAACACTGCCTGCTGGTTCCAAAGACATGCTACCCTGTGTGGCAGGGTCCAAAGACATGCTACCCTGTGCGGGTTCACCCAGTGCTGCTGTGTTTGTGAGTGAGAAAGGGTATGCATGCATGTGTGCCTGCATGTAACGGTCACCATTTAAGCAATTGGTAAAGTTGCTGTAAAAGTCCAGACCTCTGACTTCTCTTGAAACCTGGCCTCACCACCCTGTGTTGTGCCCCAACCCAACTCACCTGGCGCAGTTTGTGGTCTCTCCTCGGGGCCATTAGCCAAGTGCACCTGGGTCCTCCGGCCTTTGAACTTTGTGCACCTGGGTCCTCCGGCCTTTGTAACGTTGTTCCTGCTGTTTCTTCAGATTGTAGTGTCCTTTCGACACCTGGAAAAGCTAGCCACTCTCCCCCCTCCCACCCCCCACCCCCCGACTGTCTTGAATTGGCCAGTTGTGTGTGTGTGTGTGTGTGTTTTAGGAAAGTTAGTTGATACCTTTATTGCTTTCGGGGGGAGGGGTGCTCGGAGTTTGTGGCAGCGCCACTTCAGCTTCGCCATCAGGGCTAACGGCTTCGCGGGGGCCGCTGGCCCCACGGAGGGCGGCCGCGTGCAGATCGGCGGACTTGCTCTTGGCTCCAGATCCCGTGTGGGATGCTGCGCGGGGGCCGTTGGCGCTGTGGCCGGTGGTGGGCTTCGCTGGGGGGGGTCTCTGCTTTGAGACGACCGCCACCCCTGGCCTTGGCCGCGGGCTCCACCGCAGTCTTTTGCGGGGAATCGGCCGTTTGGAGCGAGAGGAGCTGCGGGTCTTTCGGGTGATGGCTCGGGGCTGTCCGGCTGCTGCTCCTTCCCGACGGGAAGCTGAGCAGTGCCACCGCCTCCCAGTGCAGGCGGGCGGACATGGCGGCAGCCTCTCTCCGGGGCGGTCGGGGGCGGAAAAAAAGAGGGAGAAGGAGGGAAAGAGGTGGCCACTTTTTGGCCAGTGACCTGGCCTGGAGGAGGGCGGGGCGGGGCAGGTGGGCGGGGCGGTCCTGAGCCGGCGGGCCCACCCCGCGCACGGACACTCACACGTTCGGAGGCCGTTAGTGCGCTCGCGACCCCCGACTACAGCCTCCAAGTTCTCCTCATCCTTCCGATAGAATCAGTCACCCTTTGCTGCTCAATGATCCCATAAAGCTTTATTTTTGGGTTAATCTTCACCCAAGGGCATTTTTTCCATTGCTTTTCAGACCCAGGTGGGGGTGGGGACGGATGGGGAGGACCCCACAACCTAGGTACGTGCCCTTGACTGGGAATCCAACATGGGACCCGGTGGTGCAGGCCAGCGCTCTAACCACTCAGAAGACCGGCCAAAGCTTTATTTTTATTTCTAATGTAGCGCTCCCCAAACGATTAAAGGCGGTGTATGCATGTCTTCTCGAGGCTAGATTGGGAAAACCCTGCAATTAGTTTCTGTTTTGTTCAGCTTTATGCCCCCTCCCATATTGTCCACCTTCATGCCTGGCCCACTGCATTCCTTCCACAAGCATGGAGTACGTTCCACTGAAATCAGAACCTCTCCAAGCCCTTTCATTCCCACTTTTCTGAAACTAAACAAGGGAAGCACTTCTTTCGTTTACATAGAAAGGATCAACACTTGGTTGTTTCACATGAGCTTTGAGCAAATGTCGGTTACTAAAGTCTGTGCAGTTATACAGCCGGTCATGAGAGTTGGCTCCACCTGACTTCCAAGTGTATCATGCAGAGAAGTGCATACATACCCTCTCCTCCCTAGTATTGCCCATATGCCCAAATAATAATGTTTTTTCAATAAACACAAGAAATTTCATAGGTGGCAATGACTTTATTAATCAGGTCCGAAGCTCCGCCTACAGTCTTTAATCTCAGGGTTTTGTAGCAAATTCACACAGTAAACTACTTATTTCACTATATCTTTGAGACTTTATTTTCTCTTTTACATCTTCTTTTCAAGTGGGACACTGCACTCCTAGGAATCTAGATCTAGGTTCAGAAAAGAGGATACAGCATTTCTATAGTAGTCAGAGGACACACCACCATAGGAGACACACAGATGTTGCGTTAGGGAAGGGATGCTCATTCTCTTCTGGAGAAGTGTGAAGGAAGGTCCACATTTGCCAGGAAGTAAAGTCTCAGAAGGAATAATCCCATTCTTTTAGGAGCTGCCTCTTTTTTTTTTTTTTTTGCTAAGACTATCTGCTGACAGCCCCAGGCCCCACCCTAGGCAGCTGATTGCAATGCCATGAAAGACTAAGTAACACTTTACTGTCTCCATTTGTTCTCTATCAGGATTGAATGTGGAGCAGGTGTGGTCAGCAAAGCAGAAACATCCCCTAGAAAACTGTCAGTTAGCCTGATCCTAGACCAGGGGTGGGCAAACTTTTTGACTCGAGGGCCACAATGGGTTCTTAAACTGGACTGGAGGGCCGGAACAAAAGCATGGATGGAGTGTTTGTGTGAACTAATATAAATTCAAAGTAAACATCATTACATAAAAGGGTACGGTCTCTTTTTTTTTTTAGTTTTATTCATTTCAAACGGGCCGGATCCAGCCCGCGGGCCGTAGTTTGCCCACGGCTGTCCTAGACTAAGATCCTGGGCATCTCTGAGGAACCCCATTCCTTCCCAAGGCGGTACAAGCGTGATGAAGGGACTCTTAACAGGAACCAAGCAGTCTGCACGGTATCTCCATTCCAAGAAAGAATGCCAGAAACTTCAGACTTCAAATTAAATCTTCGTTTGTAACAGTTTTCTTTCCTGTGATCCAGTTTCCTCTTAATTAATCAGGAGGGATTTGGACTGTGCATTGTTGGAACTCAGCGTTATCAGATCATGTTGAATTCTGAAATCACTTGGGACAGATTTCTAGATAGAGTAATAAAACCTCTCCCAAATTGTTATAATCCTAGGAGGCAAATGACCTCCATGACGAAAAATTGACATTTTAAAAATAACGTGGCCTTACTATCAGAAGTAATTAACGTTCATACCTATTTGCACACTATTTGACAGCCTTTTCTATCAGAGAGGTGAACCTTGTGTCAAGATTGGAGAAAAGGATACAGTATTCAGGCCTATAGAACTGCTGTATGAAAAAATTCATTTGTCTCACTGTGAGAACTTTCAGTGCTGAGCTCTGAGCATTTTATCTGGTTTAGTACACATCATAAATGGTTCTTTTTCGGTCCAAATGACCTATCTATCCCATCCTTTTAAAAAAAACTATATTTCAATCTTTTCTTCTTTCTGCAAAGGAGGTTGTGTTATTAAAAACAAAAGGTAATGCTTCTTATAGTATTCACTTATTTTATCTTTATATAACAATTTGAAAAGACTGTTATAAATAATCTATGAAATTCAATGTGTGTGTAGGATTAATGTGAAGATTTAAAAACTGATTGGACCAAAGTGTTGACCATGGTCTTAATTTAATATTAACTTAATTTAATATTGTTTATACAATAATTGAGACCTGGGGCTGGAAAACATGACTACTGTCATCCCCTTTATCTGGGCCTCAATTTTCTCATCTGGAAAATAAAGGTTGGATGAGGTGTCTTCTCAGGTCTGTATGGAATAGAGCTGAAGACAAAAGGAAAAGGCAACTTAGGGTCTTTGCTCACTAGGACGAAAAGAGGCACAGGCTTCGAAGCAGACAGACCTGGGTTCAAATCTCAGATCTTATTTGCTTTAGGAAGTTAGATTTCATTGCACTCAGCTATAAAATGGGACCAAGCTATTTTGAGGGCTGATGAGGTTTAAATTAGAACACACCTATAATGTTCCTAGTACAACTTGTGCACATATTTATGCTTCTATAAATGGTAGGACTATATTTTAAGGTGAAGAAAAACATAAGGCTGAGCGCATGATCGATCTAGCAATTTCCACTCTGGCACCTGGAGAAGAAAGGGAGCGAGCAGATCCCTGTCCTTTACCGGCAGAGATATCCCTCTGCCGTGATGAAACCGGAGCCGTCAGGGTCTAAAAAAAGCACCCCATCAGGGGGAAGGCACCACATCTTGGCAAGAAATGCTTCACATTCTTTTATCATCACCAAACTCTCTTCCCACCCCACGCCCTGCTTCTATTTAAATCCGAGGCACTCCACTGGTCCCCACTCACTTTTCGGGTGCCCAGGCTATCAGCACGGAAGAGAAGGGTAGCATGACTACGGGAGAGAAAGGAAGGGAGGAGGGGCCAGCCAAGAGTGCCCTGCGGAAGATACACAGGGCCACCCTGGTGATCAACTTGGCCCGAGGTTGGCAGCAGTGGGCAAATGAGAACAGCACCAGGCAGGCCCAGGAGCCCACAGGCTGGCTGCCCGGAGGGACCCAGGACCCACCTCAAGATCCTAAACCAGAGATACATCCCACTCCCCACCAGAAAGCCCAGAGCGCCCCCAAGTCTGCCTCCCTAAACCCAGAGGGGCCTGGGGAAGGACCGAGCTCAGGGGAGGCCTCGGAGGTCTCCCCTATCAAAAGGAAAGAGGTGACCAAAACAGTTGTCAGCAAAGCTTATGAGAGAGGAGGAGATGTGAGCCACCTCAGCCACCGGTACGAGAAGGACGGCGGCACAGCTGGCCCTGGGCAGCCGGAGGATGACATCGACAGGATCCTCCACAGCCACGGCTCCCCCACACGGAGGAGAAAGTGCTGCAACCTGGTATCCGAGCTGACCAAAGGCTGGAAGGAGATGGAGCAGGACGAGCCCAAGTGGAGGAGCGACAGCATAGACACGGAGGACAGCGGCTACGGAGGGGAGACGGAGGACAGGCCCGAGCAGGACGGAGAGCAGGTGGCCGCCGCCCGAATCAAAAGGCCCTTGCCCTCCCAGTAAGTGCATTCATCCCTGGGCTCCTTGGACCGCCGTTGAGCCCCAGCCAGCTCTGGGAGCCCAGCGAGCAGGGCAGTAGCACGGAAGTTAGAGTGAGTCTCAAAGACTGGCAGGCAGGGAGGGCCTGGGGGAAGGCATGCCCCAGAGCTAGATGGGCAGCGCCCAGCTCAGACAAGGACCTTTGGGTAGAGCGCCTCCACTAGGCTGTCTCTCCTTTCCCTTCGAACTCAACACTCAAGTGTTAGCCTCCACAAAAGTGAAACCACCAGAGAGGCTTGGTGGGTGCTTTGGGTAAAATTTTTAAAATCAATTGTATAATGAGTAGCAAATTGGCTTCTCTGTAGAGGAAAGTGCTTGCTGGTAGATTGATTGGCGAGACCTTTCCTTTGTCCCAAAGCCATCTGAATTTTATCAGGGGTCACATCTCTCCCAATAGTGCCCATGGCGCACAGCTCCACGTCTCTGTGACCTGTAAACAGGTAGGGGGCTGCTATCTATCGAGAGCAAGCTCTCAAGTCAGACAGACCCAAGTCCAAATGCCAGCTCTAGCCTGACTGTAGTCAATGACACTCTATTACATGCTTGAAAGTTGCTAAGAGTAGATCTTAAATGTTCTACACACACATACACACACACACCCTGATTATTTTTTTAAGCCTATTTCTTCCTTTTTAAAACAATTTTTATTGTTGAAAGTATTACATATGTCCCCCCTTTTCCCCATTGACCCCTTCTGGCCTGCACCCTTCACCCCCTCCACCCCAGCCTTCACCACACTATTTATTGTCTGTGTCCATGCGTTATGCATATATGCATACAAGTTCTTCGGTTATTAATCTCTTCCCACTCACCTATCCCACCTTCCCTCTTAGATTATTTCCTCCTTTGTAAAATGATGGCAACAGTAATCTCTCGGGATAAATTCTATTGTTTTGAGAGAAGTAAATGAGAGTAAGGCTGCCAAGTACTCAGCACAGTGCCTGCCATATATGCTCAGTATATGAAAGCTGCTATATTCATGTAGATTCCATTATTTAGCACTTATTCAAACTTTCAGAAAGAAAGGCATCTGTAAACAAAGAGAAATGCTATTAAAGCTAGGTAATTCAAATACCACAACCCTAAAATATTTAGATGCTAAACATGTACATACACACACGTGTGTACACACAGACTGAAACTACCACACTTATTCAGACAAGAAACACATGCTTTATTTTAAGACATTAACTCCACCTCCACATACTAGCAAGTCAGGATATCTCACTCCACAACACAGGATATCACAATATGGGAAAAGTCACTGATGTAATGAATGCCTTTAAACTAACTCCCTCTGGGAACAGTGAGATGTGTAGGTGTGCTTTTCAAGTTTTATGAAACAACCATAAACTAAAGAACATAATTGGTTACCTAATTTGACAAAGAGCTGTCTTACAGTGTGTCACTTTACAGGTATTTTGAAGGAATTTGAACTACTATATTGCAAACTTTCAAGAAAAATGAAATGTCAAACAGATCATTTTAACAATCCCTTGTGCATTTAGTGTGCTCTATGGGTATTTTACATGCTTTTCCCTTTTAACGCTTATAATCCTATGAAGAACTACCCCATTTTAGGCAGGAGAGCACTGAAGCTTGGAGGGGAAGTTTACCTAGCAGGTTAGTGACAAAGCTGAGACATGCCTGTCTCCCAATGCAGTTCTTAGATATGGTACCCACTCTCATGCAGTGCCTTGAAGATGTGACCAGAGATTTGGATTTGTGCTCTACTTATATTTAAATGGGAATTCATAATCAGAATTATTCTACCAGAAATACAGGCTGTGTGCGTGTGATTGTGTGTTAGAAAGAGAATAGAGCCCAACAGAATAAAGACTGAGCTTGGCACAGTGAAGAGCTTCCTGTCAGCACATTTGAATTGGCCAGAGGCAGGGAGCTGACAGCTGGGACCAATCTCCAATTCATGTACTCTCCTCTGGTATTTGTCTGAGCACTCTTCATATGTTTATCCATTCAATCCTCACAGCACTCTCATGGGGTAAGTATAATCATTACCCATACTCAATAGATGAGAACATGAGACAAAGGAATATTAGGGAATGTGTATAAGATTGCACAGCCCACTGGATTTGAACCCAGGCTTCTGGCTCTAAGCTCTCTCACCTGGCAGTGGGGACTTGCATTCAGGGCCTGTCTCAGGGTTCCTTTAATCAGGTATGTGCATAGTCACCTTCTTAGCGTGATGGAGAGGAGCTTAAGCTTTGAATGAGAGACAGATTTGAATCACAGTTAGGTCGGCAAATCCTAAATCTCTTTGTCCTCATCTAAAAATAGAGATGAGAATTAGTTATTTTTATAATAATTATGTAAAGCAATGGACCCAGAGGAGTTACTGAATAAGTTATACTCATTCCAATGCAGGGGGCCAGCCCTGGTGATCCCAGCCCTTCAAGGTGCTAGGAGCTTGGCTCTCAGGTTTGGCCAGCGGGGAGTGGGAATGAAATCTCTCCTTCCTTCTTTGGTTCCTTTCCCTCTGTCTTACAAGTACACAGGGCACCAAAATGTGTGCAGCCACAGCAGCTCTTAATGTCGGCGGTTATCCTAACTGTGCTCAGAAGGCTTCAGTGGGAGCCTGTGGGACTCTCAAATCCTGCTTGAGAAACGAATGTGGCATTAAGTAAGCCTATAGAAAAGTTTTCACTTACTTTTAATTAAACATTCTTTCCCCATATCCAACAATAGGGAGAAAATTATGTATCATGAATATTTAAGTAGAAAGAGAGTTTTGTTGGTAGTTAATAGAAACAAACAAGTCAGTTTTGGTTAAAAGGAGAGATATCCCTTACAAACAGTGGTTTTGCTAACTGGGGTTTTACTCTGAAGATGGTTTAAAGTGTATCCTTCATTTAAAAAATATTTAGCCTTTTATTGTATAGCCATGATTTGTTCATTCTCGCTCCTTTAGACAAAGGACATTGGATTCTTCTCCCAAACAAAAATAGTGAAATATTAAAAAGCCAATCACTCATCCATCCTCTCCTCCAAGTTTTATTTAGTAAAAATACTAGTAGTTGAGCATGATGGTGTCATCTTATAGATACGGGAACTAACATACAGATAGTAAGGAACGTGTCTCAATCAGTTAGTAAGTGATGATCTGGGAAGGCCGATGCCAGAGCTTGTGTTCTTAACCACCTGCCAGACTGATTCAGTAGAGAGCAGACACAAGGAATAAAATAGAGATCAAAGTGTCAGCTTAATTAATGGAATCCCAATAACTCCCCAACTGTAGGGGTTTGGTTCAACTATGTATATTGAAGGACTTTGATAAAAACAAAGGCAACAGTGTGGCTTTCTACTACTTGCTCTCCATCCTAGAGGTTAGCCCCCCTTTCCATGGACCCAAGGTCAGTTACCAACCTGCACGGAGAATCGCAGGCCTGGCTCTCAAACCTGGTTGATAACAGGAGAGCAAAATTATTATTATTTTAAAAATATTTTTATTGATTTCAGAGAGGAAGAGAGAAGGAGAGATAGATAGAAACATCAATGACGAGAAAATCATTGATAGACTGCCTCCTGCACGCCCCCTACTGGGGATCCAGCCCACAACCCAAGCATGTGCCCTTGACCGGAATTGAACCTAGGACCCTTTCGGTCCACTGGCCAACCCTCTATCCACTGAGCCAAACCAGCTAGGGCAAATTACTGATCAAAGATAGTGATCCTACCTTTTGAATGCAGTCACCCTGCTTCTGATAAATGTGACCCTGTGGATGTCATGCTCCCATGATGTCAAATTGGCTATACTTCCTGTGGAAAAGAGCAAGAAAGTGAAACACAGAGAAGCAGATTATCCCCAGGACATCCCTGAGAAGCTGGAAAAGAGAGCAGTTCTTTGCTTTACTGACAGAGAAATGTTCCTGGGCAGTGAAGAGAAATCCTCCCTTCACAGGAGAGTCTATGGGTGGGACAACCAGAGCAGATCTCCACCTTCTTGATAGAGATTCAAGACTTAGACCAGGAAAGTTCACCTATAGGCCCCTGACTCTGAGGCTGGTGATCCAGATGAGATCAGAGAGAGTGTTTTCCATGTCAATGAACTTGGTTAGGTTTGAAATATACCTTTAGGACTTTCATTTGCTGTGAGTTTTGTTCATACTTAATAATTTACTCACATAATTATTGCACCAAAATGATAACGTTGGTTCTCATATTCTCATCATGTAACTAATGAGCCACATTCACATAAGAAAGCAACACTCAAACTGATGTCTTTTTAAAGTTGACAAATAAGGAATACATTTCAGAATTTATTTCAACGAATAAACTTAGACTTTCCAACATAGAATGCTTATAATGCCTAGTAGAATTAGTTACCTTGCACATACCAGGACAGGGGTAATTTTTATTGATCAAATATAAGGAAATTTGTTTATTGATAATGAAGAAACTAAAAATATTAATTTGGATTAAATATTACTATCTGCAATGTTGAATATTGCTTTCCTTCTTATAAATTTATACTAGAATGTCTTCCTAAATCTCAATCTAAACTATTATGCACATTTTTACTTGTAAATTAAAACAGAAACAAGATAAGCTGTATATTGATTCTTATATTCACTGACCAAGAAGATACTTAAGATATAAGTCTTTCTAATCCTGATTTAAAACTGCTATTTTGCTGAAACTGGTTTGGCTCAGTGGATAGAGCGTCGGCTTGCGGATTGAGGGGTCCCGGGTTCGGTTCCGGTCAGGGGCATGTACCTGGGTTGTGGGCGCATCCCCAGTGGGAGATGTGCAGGAGGCAGCTGATCGATGTTTCTCTCTCATCGATGTTTCTAGCTCTCTGTCTCTCTCCCTTCCTCTCTGTAAAAAATCAATAAAATATATTTAAAAAAATAAAAATAAAAAAGTAAAACTGCTATTTTAAGACTTTTTAAAAACTGGAAAGACAAAAAGGATACAGAACCTTTGTGAGATAGAGAAAAATTTAATACGCATTAAAGTATATAGCTCTATTTTTAAAGTCTTGCTTATAGAACCAATTCATATGTTTTCCTTCCCTCCTAGTATTGAGAATTACAATTTGACAATATGACAAATACACATTAATATTTGAAAGGTGCTTCTTTTAGAAGATAAATAGATAAATGTTTTTCTTCTTCATAGATTTATAACCTCACCAACCCCAATCTTTTTTCCAAATGACATAGAATTTCAAAACTCAGAGAATCTAAGTTCCTAATTAAAATTAGAAGAAAAAAAAACTACTTCAAAGAATCAGAGACCCAGCTAAAATATGGTGAAACAAATTACCTCTGGATGCTAATCTGAGATTTTTCTTAATTTTTGCTTTCTCTAAATTATAAAATCAATATAATACCTAGATGAATTTTTTTAAAGATGAAAAAAAATCAATTATCATCTGGATACCAACATAATTATTTCCAATTGTGCATATACCATTGATTCCTTCAGCCTGGTGCATGCACATTTTACACAGTTGAAATCATACCACATACTCAACTTTGTACTCTGATTTTCATGAATATCTTTTTAGTGATTATTTGCTGTTTTTCTTCTCATTATTGAATACCCAATACGTAACTAAAACAGTGTCTGGCACACGGTAGGTATCATAAATACTTTAATAAAGAATGAAAAAAAAATGTCTAGTGCCCAGAAGCTCCTTAAAGGGAGGATGTGTTGTGTATTTTACTATAGGACAGAACTATAGCTGGTGCTCAGGAGACAAAAAGTATGAGTTAGTGGATAATGTTTTTCTTTTCACTTTCTTCTGAGAATTTCCCAGCCTCAAATCAACTATGTATGACCTTTGGGTTCTGCAGGGATGGCCCTGGGCTTGCTATTAAAGGCTATGCCTGTCATAGATTGCCATGGTCCCAAGGGCACAGGTGTTTGCTCTCCTTTGATAATGAGATCAAGCAGCCAACAGTCTGGACAGCTGGACAGGGACAGTCTGTGGAGAAGGAGGAGATGGTGAGGACCAGCAGGGCAGAGAAATCCATTTCACTTCAATGTGATGCAATTCCTAGCACTTTTCCATACATATATGATATTTTAAAGTTGTAATAATTGTCCATAGTTTTTGAATGCTGCTTTTTCCCAGTTAACGTTGTCATGTACTTTTGTTCATGTGCTACAAAGAATAGCAGTGTGATATGTAGCAGTGTATTCCTAGTTTGAATTTTATTGTAATAGGGTAGGTAGGACTTTTGGAAACATAAAGCATGGGAATTAATGAAAGTTCGCCCTCTAGTGGATGTCATTCCTTTCTTGAAAACAATGCTAATACACATATGTATGCCATCCTATGCATCTATTAGCCTCCTGCATTTGAATAACCAGAGTTCAGGAGGTGAGTCTGTATAGTGAGGAATACCCACATCTGAATCTGTTCCTGGGTTTTGAAAAGTGAATTGTGGGAGTTTGGGTAGGAGGGCTACTTAGTTCAGGCCAGCCATGCTTCTGAGCAAATTCAGTACTGCTCTACCTCTCCAATCCCAATGCTTCCAGACATGAGGCCATTTGACTTTCAGGAGGAGGAAGGGTGGGTCACTTGTGAGGATGAGGAATACAAAGCTCTGGCTTTCAGATAGTCTAACAGATCATGTTTTCTCATGAAGGCAAAGGAGATCTAGGGAAAAAGTCTAGGAGATTAGAGATACAGAAAGGACAGGGAGGTCTTTTAAAGACAAACTGCCTATTTTAAAATTAGGCCTGCACCCAGGACACTTGCCAACGCAGTTATTTTTTTTTATAATAAAAAAATGCATTCCAAATTGCAAGGACATACATACACATGTGACATAACTCCTTCCACGCTGAACGGCATCATGGCACAGTGGAAATAACTTTAGCCTTAGAATACCAGCACATTGTGTTCATTCCATGTTACTATTGCTAGCCAGTGTCTTCTATCTATACAACTTGATATTTTAAAATTGTGGCACACCACTGATACTAGTATAGATTTGATCTCATTAAAAATCCATAGATGAAAATCTACATGTAAGTGAATATTACAATGTATGTGTGCTGGTATAAGCCTTATTTTGGGGGAAATAGCTGGTTTTTGAAGTTCTATATAATGTAGATTTATATACTTAACTAGAGGCCAAGTGCATGAAATTTGTGCTCAGGTAGGGTCCCCTGCCGGCCAGGGCCTCCCTTCCCCAGCTGCCAGCTGGGGCCTCCCTTCCCTGGCTGCCAGCTGGGGCCTTCCTTCATTCCATGCCACCCCTTGGTGGTCAGCACACGTCACAGCGAGTGATCGAACTCCCAGTTGGTTGAACTCCAGAGGAGACACTTTGCATATTAGGCTTTTATATATATAGATACATTCATGATTCCAGTTTTAAAATGTTCTTAATATGCAATTTAAGATACATGTATTTGCATTACATTTGTGTAAGGAAGCTTTTTTCTTAAAATAGTTTATTATTATTTTATGGTGCTTAAAACCTTACTATTATTTAGATAAAATAATCTAGAAGGCCATACACCAAACTAAAAACAATGGTATTTTTCTCCTTTCATTTCTAATTTCTTTGTATTATGTTTATATGTTTTTTTCATAATGGAAAAAAAAAGAGACTTACGTTATGATGCATATGTGCAGGAAGCACACGAGAGAGCAACACTTGTGTGGTAAAATATCAGTGTGTTGATCCTTCACACTTTTTCTCCTTTAGGGCAAATAGATTTACAGAGAAACTCAACCGCAAGGCCCAACGGAAATGCAGTCAATTGCAGGACCTGAAAGGAAAATGGCAACAGTGGGCTGATGAACACATACAATCCCAGAAGCTCAACCCTTTCAGTGAAGAATTTGATTATCAGCTGGCCATGTCCAGCCGCCTCCACAAGGGAGACGAAGGCTACGGCCGTCCCAAGGAGGGAACCAAAACAGCCGAGAGGGCCAAGCGAGCCGAGGAACACATCCATCGGGAAATTATGGACATGTGCTTCATTATCCGCACAATGGCTCGCCACAGACGTGATGGCAAGATCCAGGTCACTTTCGGAGATCTTTTTGACAGATATGTTCGTATTTCAGATAAAGTGGTGGGCATACTCATGCGTGCCAGAAAACACGGACTGGTGGACTTCGAAGGAGAGATGCTATGGCAAGGCCGAGATGACCATGTTGTGATTACTCTACTCGAGTGAACCTTCCACAGCAAAAGCCAAACTTGATCCACTATTGTCTTAATGCTAAATGCTAATTTAGTCAAATTAAAATGCAAACTGTTCTGTAATAAGTAGGATATATTAAACAATTTTTACATGAATGACTTCTGGGTACTCTATTTCTGAGGAAGTTTGAAGATTTTTGATAAAGCACACACAAACCTTTGAAATTCTACTTATCCTTTTAGGCAATAATATTTGGCTATTCATTGCAGATATTATAGATCTTTAATGAAATAATTACTACCTCTAAGAAGAGTGCTGAGTTTAGGTACATATCAGCAGTACATATTATTATGTCATTTTTCAGGAAAAAAAGAATTCCATTAAGTTTGGCAAAACAAATCTTAAACTTTTCTAAGAAACTTGACTTTGTACTATTATTTTAATCATAGTATCACTTACAAAATAGGCACACAAATAAAAAATTAAGATTTCAAATAAAGTAATGAAATTGTTCAAATTTCTCTGTGGGCTTCTTATGATTTAATAGGTTTCCACAGTTAGCCATGCCTCTTTGTCATTTGTGCAAATCACATGAAAACAGACATCACTGGTGGTCTTGGAACCAACCAACAGGAAAGGCGGTTATGTTCACTTTTGCTATAAAAGTAAAACAGAGATGAGAGATCAGATTTAACTGCCCTCAGAGGACTTCTTGGAGAAGTTTATTTTTTCTCAAAACTGTAATGTCATGCTGCTTACATTTATGTCAACATATAATGAAGTAGTAGTACAGAAAATTCTACAATAAAGTAGAATGTTTATGTACCTTTTCTTTGTACTCTAACAAACTTTATAAAATACCTGAAAATTATAAAACAGCAATATTAGACCTGCCACAGTGAAAAAGTTAGTTTAATATGATGCCAAAGAAATATTTGACACTAAACAGCTATTTGTCATTTTTTTCTCAATCAGATTTAATGTTCTTTATATAATTATAAAAACAAACTGAAAAAATGTGATTGTAATTCTTACTGAATTCAATAAAAATTACTAAATTATATAGCACTTTGGTGTTAAATATAGAAATTAATGTCAAATTATGATACCTCAAAATAATAAATTCATACTTGTTAGGTATTAGGTTTACTATAAATATGGATTAAACTACTATAGAAATTAGTTATTTTCATTTGTGATTCTTTTAAAATTAAAGTTCCAATAACTTCTTAAAGAGGGCTTGTATATTTGTTTTTATATAATTTAATAATATAATTTGTAATTTAACAAATGACCAATATTCCTAAGTAGGATTTCATGTAGGATGTACACTTCTATCATAACCATGAACCGATGTCAAAATTCTAAGATATGGTACAAGAATAAGACATTTTCTTGTATTTCCTGTCCTTGTGTTTAGAACACTAGCTTCCTTAGAGAAAAATGACTGCTATGGGACAGATTTTTATCTTAAAAATCCCATGGTAGAAAAACCCAGTGGAAAATTTAGGGCTTTTAGAGAAAAAAAAAAAAGTAGAACTCAGAGGGCAAACAAACTAATGAAAGTCCTCATATTTTCATAATCACCAAAATAGTATATGAGAGAATTATAATAAAATATACTATCAATGGCATTTTACTATTGGTAGTTCTAAACTTCCAATAATGGGTTCTATATAATTGGTTTCCAAATCTTCAGGATTTTCCTTTACCAAACTTTCCATAAGATATTTAAAGAGTTTCTGGGTTGTTGACATGTACTATATTTTACCACTTCTGTCTGGACCTCCAAATGTTTGATGGCCTTTCAACGTTTACAACTTGAAGTTTTATGACTCCTTCCTTCTCAGGTTCACCCTGGCCACTTACACCAACAGGAGAGAAGTTCTGTGCTTGGGTTTTCTTCCTTTCCCCACAGTTGAAAAATGAGGCTGGATCTATATTCTTAGTTTGCCTTTTTGCTTTTTCCTTTCCCTTCCCAAATTCAAGTTGTTTTCTTCTTTACTACTACCAACAGGTGTACCTATCAGGTGCTGTAGGAATAATTCTGGGTAAACTAGAATTTTGTGTTTCAGGGACTCAGGGAACAACTGCTGTACTTTCTCTCTTAAGTCACTCTGTTGGGGGATTATAAAAGAAGAGACCATCTGGTCCATACTAAAGTGGCCTCTTAATGCAGATGATTCCGTGGGATTCCTAGAATATTTATTTTCATTCCCATTACCTAGGATATTTCTTAGTACACAATTTATAAATGTGCTATGTGACCTAACCTTAGTCTAGAGCAGTGGTTCTCAACCTTGGCTGCACATTAGAATCACCTGGGAATCTTTTTAAAATCCTGATTTCTGGGCCCCATCCTCCAGAAATTCTGTTTCTTTGTTACTAATGTTGTGGCCTCACCCCATAACATTCCAGAGGATGAGGCCCAGAAATCAGGATTTTAAAAAGATTCCCAGGTGATTCTAATGTGCAGCCAAGGTTGAGAACCACTGTAGACGTTTTCAGAATGCTGTGGTTGACAATCATCCCAACAAGGGTTAGCTGATAACATGTATGCCCAGATTTTGAGGGCATGTCAGTATCTAACAAGATTACATAGCATTTACTTTTTGACCAAGAAATTTCACTCTTTAAAACTCCCCTGAAGATACTACTCAAACAATATGAAAATACATACGTGTAATGCATTATTTTTAATTGCAAGTCACTGCAAAGAACCTAATACATATGGGAAAATGATAGAATAAAATATGGTACATCCATATAATGTATGCAGCTCTAAAAAAGGAAGATCTTTAAGAACTGAAATAGTTATTTTTAGAGAGCATGTGTGTATATATACACACTAGATTTTGTACACACATATATACACACCCTGGATTATATGTGTGAACATGTCATATATATACACTGAGTGGCCAGATTATTATGACCACCTGACGTTTGTAGGCAAATTAGCTATAATTTTGCACTGAAGTTGCTAGAGGGCCAGATCATTATAAACGTCTGAATAGCACAACATACCTAAGTATCGTTGCTGATCAAGTTCATCCTATCATGTTGATGGCGTATCCCAATGGAGATGGCTTCTTCCAACAAGAAAATGCACCATGCCACGGTGCTCGTATTGTGCAGGAGTGGTTTCAAGAACATGAGGGAGGCTTTACCTTGCTTAGGTGGCCTCCACAATCATCAGATCTCAATTCAATTGAGCATTTGTGGGACGAAGTTAAAAGAGCCATCAGGCAGCTGGTTCCACAACCATCAAATCTCACAGAACTGGACAGTGCTATTCAGCAGGCATGGTGTCAGATTCCTCGCATCACCTTTCAATATCTCGTGGAGTCAATGCCAAGAAGAATTGCCACAGTATTGAAGGCAAAAGGTGGCCCAACGAAGTACTGATGGGGTGGTCAGAATAATCTGGCCACTCAGTGAATATAAAACCTCCATTTTGAAAACAGGGATGGGTGGAAATAAGTTGAAAGAGACAGAAAAAAGTTCTGTAGAATTTGGATTTTGGAACCTTTTAAATGTTACATATACAAAAAGTAAAATTAAATGAATAGGAAAAATAAAAACTGAATACAAAAATAATAAGCATAATTCTATTTCAAATGATTAAAATAAGCACACAGGAAGGAAAAAGAAATATACATAACTTTTGAATACAATCTAGAGACAAAAAAGCTGCAAAGAAATCCTAAAATCTAATTTTGTTTGTGAGGGTATGGGTGTACAATTCTGAAACTATGTCTTAGATGAAGAAAATGAGTAAACATACTGATGTCCTCGGTGTGGGAGAAGAGACACAAACATGGAGAGGAAAGACGAAGAAGAATCTGTAATGCTAAACTGGTTAGAAGTATCGGTGTGCATTTGTGATGTGTGCATTTATTTCCTACCTGTTTCCCGAGAGGCCCTAGAAGCAATGCCGCCCCAGCAGCAACACATTAACATCCAGATTTCAAAATGCCATCCTCCTTAAAAGAAAACATGTCTACTTGGAGAAATGACTAATTCTAGGATGGGGTTATAGAAAGTATAGTTAAGTTTGGAACATTGTGTTGCACCAGAAGCAAGCAAGGTTCAAAGACATGGAGAAATGCACAGAAGCCAGCTATTGGGGTTCCCATTGGTTAACTCTAGGGCACAAATAGATTATTCAAGACTTGGAATTAAGAAAAGGAGCCCACTAGTCATGCTAATAATGGACTTTTTTTTTTAAACTAACCTCATTATTTTATTATTTTTTTAATCCTCAACCAAGGACATGCTTAGAGAGAGGGAGGAAGGAGAAAAGGAAGAAGGATGGGAGGAAGAAACACCTATTGGTTGCCTTCCATTCATGCGCCAACAGAGGATCAAACTTGCAACCCAGATATGTACCCTGACCAGGAATCACACCAGTAACCTTTCGGTACACAGGACACTCAACCAACCAATGATCCACTCTGGCCAGGCAATGATAGATATTCTTAAATGATGGAAAAAGGAAAACTCTTACTTACAGTAAATGCCAAATAATAAATGTGCTGGGAATAAAAGAAAAATGATTTTACAACCATTTTAGTAATTCAGATAAGAATCCTCAATAGATACCAAGAACATTGTGAAAAATAGAGTATCTATGATATCAAAGTACCTCCCTGCACATTCCTTATTACAAAAGGAAACATGATAGCAGTGGAGAAACATGGTGCACCACTTTCTTCATCAACTTATGGAAGCTTTCACCAATAAGCGGATAAACATAAATCCTAATATGATGCAGAGGACAGAACATCACTTCTGTGGTTTTGCTGCCAAAAATGCGTGACTTAAATTTAAATATAGGAAAAATTCAGATAAACCCACACTGAACTCTTCCAGGTTGAAAATAAAGAAGATAGAATTAAATGCAACGAAGGATCCTGGATTGAATTATGTATCAGAAAAAAAATAACGCTTTAAAGGATATTAGAACCATCGGTGAAATTCAAAAATGAACTATATATTCAAAGATATGTTAAATTTCCCGAATTTGATAATTGTATAAAGGACCTAAAAGGATATCCTTGTCTTTAGGAGATACATGCAAATGTTTATATATATGGTTTGAGAGTTATTAATCTCAGCAAAATAATAGGTGAGTGGGTATGTGGAGAAATAA